GAGGAAGAAGACCTGGTGGACACCCGCTATCGACTCCATGGCAAGCAGCCAGCTCATGGTCTGCATTACGCCGGATGAGCAAGGAGATGGAGCGCAAGATGTGTGAAACACCCACCCAAAAAGATCTGGTAGAGAAGACGATCCTGGAGGGCATCAAGGGCATTGCAAAGGAGATCAGCAGGTGATCGTGGACAAGGTCGCAATGAGCATCTCGAATGACAGCCAAGCTGAAACCTGCGTCAAACAATTAAGGAGGGATGCTACGTGGCTTGACCGTCAGGTGCACGACAACCAGCAGGAACTTGCCCACATTATGAAGATAGTGGCAACGCGGGAGAAGGAAGCGGTTCCACAGGAAGCTGAGGCCCTTCAAACCTACCTGGTGGGCAACAAACAGATCATGGAAGAAAAAGAACAAGCGCCATGTGGAAGGCGAAAGGCAAGGGTAGTTGGATGTGGCAACTTTGGCACGCCTGACGAGACGGTCACGACCTCAACGGGTGGCACTGATGCTGTTGCGCTGAGGGTGCTGATGATGGTTGCCAGCCAGAGGGGTTGGGCGCGCGGCTCGACTGACATCAAGAGCGCATTTCTCCAAGCACCGAAACGAAGTGCAGCGCATCGTGTGACGTTGGTGAAGCCACCTCAGTTAGTTGCGCAGTTGGGGATCGTCCCGCCTGGAACTATGTGGGCGGCAGAAGGAGCGCTGCACGGCTTGAGAGAATCTCCTGAAGATTGGACACGCCACCGCAACCAGTGCCTGAGAAGAGCTCGAAATGTGGTGGGCTCTGAGGACAATGTGAAGGCCTATTGGGCACCTATGTGGATGACCTCGTTGCAGTTGGACCCGAAAGGTGGAGAGCATTTGGGAATGGTCGGTAAGCCTGAAGTTCTGTCAGCTCCAAGTGCTCCGTACTGCTGATGGCTATAATAACCTGCACCAGAGGGACTACATCATCGACCCCTCACCTCTCTACATTTACATCTTCACACGCTCACATCCACAGATCTACCTCTCCACCTCACCACTCCCACACATCTGCACATCTATATCACATCTGTACATCCACACTGTCGCTCCTTCACATCTGTCTTGTCTTTCTTTCTACATATCTTTTCTCTCGTCTCTGTGCATTTACATCTTCGCACGCTCACATCCACAGATCTACCTCCCCACCTCCATACATCTACAGATCTATATCGCACCTGCACATCACACTGTCACTCCTTCACATCCACCCTTTCTTTCTCTCTTTCCATACATCTTTTCGACAGTGCTGGACAATTACATGTCTCGCTCTCGGGCCAACCGTCGTCTAGTTGATTTTTGATTTCCTTCTTTCAGTTGACCACCGCAGCCATTTGAGCTGCCCCACCCGATTCGTTGATCCTGCTCCATGATGATCTCCTCCCCTGACTTCGAGTTCCGGAACCGCTGACCCAACTGATTCCCACGGATTGGCGCGATTTCCGCCAACCCTTCCAAAGCCTTGATCTAATACCTTACCTCGCCACTGTCAGGTTTGAGTTGGACGTCAGCTTACTTGTTTACCAACCGTTGAACTACATCACTGTGACTCTTGCCACAGCCCAGCTTGAAACCAAAGAATACACAGTGGATGACCTTAAGGATGTGATCTATTCTCGCACAAGTCTACAACGCCACAGCTTCTGGATAGCCCTTCCGTCCACCGGCGACTCTCGGGTTTGGGAAGTACCACACACCTGCACCCTCGAGGATCTTGTCCTCTATTACATCAACTCTCGACGTCTCCGTGTTCTTGGCCCACCACATGAATGTTCACGGGAGGAAACCCCCTTCCCCAACGACCTCTACATACTATCGCTGCCCGACTACACGATGATGCTATCTGTCAACTTCGACTTCCCCTGACTGCCTATCAAACTCACAGAGAAATCCGTCAGTTTCGCTAGTCTCACATAACCCGCCGGCTTGGGGTTTAAAATTGCCTCCCCTCGGGGAGGCGTGTGTGTGTGCGTGTGTGTATACACCCTTGGAATCATAGGGATCCTTTCGGATTGTTTTCGGTTTGGCTTTTGTCTTTTCATGTTACAGCAGGGGGCCCATGGACACTTGGATGGCATGGGCCAACGAAGACCCATCCAAGCTGTCGTGAAAACGTACCTGCTTGGTGCACCTGGGCGCATTATAAGACGCAGCTGGTGGCCACCTTTCTTCCTTGTCTTTTGTCAAGGGCTAGTGCATCTGCAGATGTGAGCGGACCGCCGTCAACCTGTTCGATTCCCGTTCGTCGTTCGGTTTCTTCCTCTTTGGGCCACTTCTCCGTTTGAAGACCCCCAGGATTCGCTGGTTCCCTACCTGTAACCTTAGGAATTGGAACCCTAGGCCGGCGTGTGGCACCGCTATCAAGTCAGTACGCATTTCCATGAGTGTGTTTGGCCACGTGCCAACCCGGGATGAGCCCGCAGAGTGCCTCCCGTGGACCCGTCGAACGGGGGTTTGTCGAACGTATCCACTGCCCGGATACAGAGCAGCTCGCAGCGAGCGTAGGTGGCCTAGGCCGTACGTCCGATGATTTTTGTCCCATCTTTGGAATTCCAAGTTGGCTTATGCCTTTACGTGACCGGAGCGGTCAGAGGTGGCAGCCCTCGGGCAAGCCGTACGTGGTCGCAGCGACCGAAGTTTGTTCAAGGTTCATTGGAACCTGTCCCAACCTCAGGTGCACACACAGCGCTCACACTCAAACGAGGCATGTCCCTAGGTGTTTCTAATGAGGTTTGGCTTCATTGGTTCTTGTCCCCTCCATTTGGTTCCCCTTTCATCCCTTCCCCTTCACATACTTTTGTTTCCTCTTTTCTTTCATGTCCTCCTGTCTTCATGTCTGGTCATCTCATCCTTTTCTTCGTTTGCGTGCACATTGGTCCCGGCCTTAGTGTGTACGTGCACTTTACATACCTTTAAACACAGGCTTCAGGTCGCCCAGGTCTTTACAATGAGGTGGGCTTCATCGGGTGTCCCTGTGCACTTGGTTCCCCTTTCATTTCAACCACACGCACCTTTGTCCCGTCTTGTCCTCCTGTCATGTCTTCATTCTTTTGTCTTGTGCGCGCACACGTGCACATTGGCCCTTACCTTAGATTTTCGTCTCCCCTCGGGGAGGCGTGTGTGTGTGTGTAACCCTTGGAATCATAGGGATCCTTTCGGATTGTTTTCGGTTTGGCTTTTGTCTTTTCATTTTACAGCAGGGGGCCCATGGACACTTGGATGACGTGGCGGCCAACGAAGACCCATCCAAGCTGTCGTGAAAACGTACCTGCTTGGTGCACCTGGGCGCATTATAAGACGCAGCTGGTGGCCACCTTTCTTCCTTGTCTTTTGTCAAGGGCTAGTGCATCTGCAGATGTGAGCGGACCGCCGTCAACCTGTTCGATTCCCGTTCGTCGTTCGGTTTCTTCCTCTTTGGGCCACTTCTCCGTTTGAAGACCCCCAGGATTCGCTGGTTCCCTACCTGTAACCTTAGGAATTGGAACCCTAGGCCGGCGTGTGGCACCGCTATCAAGTCAGTACGCATTTCCATGAGTGTGCCCCTTTTGAGTTGTACACTGAGCTTTCTTCATTCAGAGCAGGTGGGTGCAGAGCACAGTGGAAACTGCACCCCACGAAGCTATCCACTTGTGCTGGAAGCAGAGCCTGATCAGCTCTGTGTACCTGCTCGAATTTTAAGATTTCGTAAAGGTCTAATGAGTTCTGCAGATGTGTACGCCACGCCGTCACCTGCCGGTCCGATTTCGACTTGAGCCTTTGGCCCCTTTTCCTTTTGAAGACCCCCAGGATCCGTTGGTTCTTACTTACTTGTACTCTTAGGAAATGGTAACCTAGGCTGGCGTGTGGCAGTGTGTACACCCTGGAATCAAGGGTCGCTGGTTAGCTTCTCCCAAAAAGCAGGGGCGCAGGAAACGTACCTGCTTAAACTAATTTGGTGGTTACCTACCTCTAAGCTTGTGAATATGTTCAAGAAGCAGTGCTTGTGAATACGTACAAGTGCTTGTGAATACGTTCAAGAAGTGTTTGCAAATATGTGCAAGGAGCACTATCATTCCTGACTTCTTGGGTCTTCTTACTTGGGTTGGCAAATCGGAGTACGCATTTTCCCGAGTGTGCGCCTGCAATTCGCAAGGCATAGAAATAGATGGCGCAATCCTGCCTTGAGGGGTTTGCAGAGGAGGACGTGCGCAGAAAGATGCTGGAGCAAAAATTGAAAAGGTGTGCGTTTGTCTGCATTTTTTTGACAGTGCTGTCACGGTTCGAGGAGTTCGCAAGCACCATCTCTGGAAATCGAGCGACATGGTGTGGTATTCTTTGAGTGATGCATTTAGGCGTCTAGGCGGAAGTTGGCGGCTTGTGGAGCACCCGCCGGCACAACATAGCACAAGTAAACTACAATTGACAATAGTGCCGATTATGCATGTCATGCCCCACTGCATTGCTAGCATCTTGAAGGCCTTCACAAATAAGTGTGTGGAATTCTTTTCGACATGGTTTGCAAGTGCGGATTTGCATACAGGCACATAAACTGTTTGCAAGCGGCCTGTTTGGCGTAAGCCCTTAAATCCGAGCAATATATCGTTCTGTGAAAATGCTTCAGGGGGGTCGGTCTAGTTGTCAAGGCTGGTTCAAGCTGGCCATGGTGCCAAATATGCTGCCCGGGCCGGGATGGCAACCTGGCATTATTTGTGTTGTAGTTTTGTTGTGGTTGTAGTTAGCAAGAAGAACGGTAAGAACAAGAAGAACAAGAAGAAAACGAGCAAGAAGAAGAAGAAGAAGAAGATGATGATGATGATGATAAAACTAGAACTTTGGATGTGAACTCGGAAAAAAATTGAAAAAATGTTCTTCGTTAGCTTCTGGCTCTTGGGCTTATACTCCTGCCCAAGGCGGCCACTGCCCGGCTGTTCGGCGTAAGCCCTTTGGATAGACTTGACTCTAGAAAACTGTTTGGCAATGCAGTGATGCAAGCCTTGAAAACTGGCAGTCGGTCTTCTTGACCTCCATGGGGTGATACTCAGTGACCTGTGAGCTTGACTCCTGAGCGGACGGTTAAAAAAGAACACATATCCACAGTGGCTTCTGAGAAGATCTGTATCCAACTCTCGTCTGTTGGTTGGAGGCACAGACAGAGGAAGGCAAAGTCGCGGGATATCACTTTCTGACAGTCCTACAAAATGCTCGCGTGAATTCATCAAGAAATGCCACGTCCACGGTCTCCTGCAAGCAGCTGGATCTTTGCCAGCAATCCAGCAGTTGTTCGCGCACTTGCCTCATAGAAGGCTGGGTTCTAAAGCTGACCTGCAGGCAAACGCGCATTGAAAAAAAGAAACTGAACAATCACCAAACACTTCCAAAACTCTCTGAATTTGGTCTGATCATGATCTGCTCACAGTCACCTCGCGGTCAACCAAAGCTGGTCCTACAGGTAGTCCTGGAAAGTCTGCCCAGCCCTCCACATTCACTGTACGCTTGGCACGTGGCGGAACTGCACTGCTGGGGCGAATTGTCGCCACGAGTCTTTTGAGCTTCAACTGCACCAGCGCCAAAGCATTCAATGGTCGGAAACCCTTTGTTCCTGTTATTTTGTCTCTTTGAGAAGCGTTAGCAACGTGACCTGTGCTTCCCTTTTCCTTCATCACGATCTTAAACACTTTCAATGCAAGCAGTGGCAGCCAACCTCCACTTGCAACGTGAGTACTACCAAAAGCCATGGGAACTCGACAACAGATCTAATCAGTCAAACCTGTTGGCAAGGTATCAGACATTGCAATGCCCACGACTGCAACCAACGCATCACACGGCCCCGGACACACCCCAGAAACACCCCGGAGATGCACGTTGGTCCGGACACAGCGGGTTTACCAAACCACACACGGACGGGCCACAGGCCACTCACACTGACAGACCGACAAGTCCTGCACACAGCGGTTAAACACGGGCAGCGCACGTTGACTAGCCCTTTTTTTGTAAGAGAGAACCCCAACAGCAAACTTCATGAGGATCTGTATCAAATAATTGCAAAATGTATTTTGCACCAATCGAGACTGTGCCATGTTAATATTTTAGTTCCTGCCTGCTTCTTCTGCCGTGTTTCTTTTTGGATCTGATGGTGACGGGTCGCATGCCATTTCGCTCCAGTGTCCCTGGCTGCAGAAGCAGGCCGAAAAGCAGAAAGGCCATGGCATAGCGAGGCTGTCATTAAGAGCAGTAGCCTTTGTTTGTCCGCTAACGGAACCAAACAACTGTGACTAGGAGAAAAAGGGCAAGTTGCTGTTTCACGGTTACCAAGGTATTCCCATTCCAAAACAAATCTGCCTGGCTGGACCAACTTCCAATGTCTTCTAAATGCACTTTGAAGGTGCAATGAGCAAACGCAAACTAAACGGCATCAAAACCAACTTGACCAGAGGCAACAAAGCAACTCCAAACCCTGCATGCAAGATGTTTGGAGAACATGTGTGTCATGTCACGGAGGTGAGTTGCAACACGCCTTTGTTTTGGAACCCCGGAATTTTGGGAGGCCCAGTGTTAAGAGTAAAGAAAGAAAGGTCCTAAGGACCGATGTTGAATGTGTGTTTTTGAAATTTTTTGGCAAAATTTGAACCACTACGCTTGTCCACCCACAAAGGTTTCCTTCACAAGTTGGGTTCTAAGGTCCTTCTTGTCAGCCAGATTGATTGTGAAAAACAATCACAAAGTTTGTCATTCCCTTCTCAGTGTTAAATTTTTGCTTTGACGTGTTCGCTCTTAGTCGATTCCGCTAGGACCTGTCCTGGCACCTATTCTACCTCCCTTTCTCTCCCTCTCCCTCTCTCTCTCCGTCCCGCTCCCGCACCTTGCTCTTATCTCTTTGCGGTTTTTTCCTGGATGTAATACCTAGGACCCTACTATTCACGGTGCGTCCCTGGACGCTTGCGTCGTAGCTGGAGCAACTGACCACATTTTGTGTGTTTTCCTTTCGTTCCTTCCTTCCTTCCTGCCTTATTTCCTTTTTTTTTCCTCTTTTCCTCGTTTCCTCTTTTCCTTTTTTCACCTTTTCCCCTTTTCCCCTTTTCCCCTTTTCCCCTGTTCCTCTTTTTTCCTTTTCTCCTTTTCCCCTTTTCCTCTTTTCTTCTTTTCTCCTTTTCCCCTTTTCCTCTTTTTTTTTCTCCTTTTCTCATATCAATTGTTTCCCTTTTTCCATGTGTTCCTTGTTTTTCCTTTGTTCCTTTTCTCTCCCCTTGTTTCTTTCATGTTTTTTTTTCAGTTTGTTTTCCTTTTGTTCTATGGTTTGTTCTGTCCTACTGTTTTTCTCTCCTCGTGTCTCCTTTTTATTTTTGTTTTTTCCTCTCCTTTTTGTTTCCTCTCCTGTTTTTCCCTTCCCTTTTTCCTTTCCTGTTGTTTCTTCGTTTCCTTTTGTTTCTCCTTTCCATTGTTTTTCCTTTCCTTTTTTCCCTTCCCTTTTTCTCATTGCCTTTGTTTTCTCCTTTCATTTTTTCCTTTCCTTGTCTTCTATCAGCATTTCCTTTTTTTTGCCTTCCCTTGTTTTCTCCTTTCCTTTTTTTCCGTTCTTTTTTCATCCTTTTTGTTTATCCTTTCCTTTTCTTCTACGTTCCCTTTTTCTCCTTTCCTTTTTTTCTCCTTTCTTGTTTTCTCCTTTTTTTGATCATTTCCTTTTTTTTGCTCATGCTTTTATCCTTTCCCTTTTTATCCTTCCCTTTTTGCCCTTCCTTTTCTCTCCTTTCCTACTTTGCTCTCCTTTCCTTTTCTTCTCCTCTCCTCCTTTTCTCCCTTCCTTGTTTTTCTCCTTTCCCTTTTTTTTGCCGAAAGCATTGCGAAGGGTTCTTCCGGAAAATCACTTGAACACTTACACTGCTATACTTACACTTGAACACTTGCGCTTCTATACTTACAATGGCACAGAAGTATCCAAGTGAAAGTTTGCAAGTGAAAGTATGCAAGTGTAAGTA